CATTAAATATTCCAGGTGAAATAATTCCCCTCTAGGTCACCAGTTCCAATCCAGCCTGGGTTGGCCAAGACCTTCCGGCGATTTGACCTGTGCAGGTTTGGCTGATCTCAGTCCAGTTCCTAGTGCACAAGTGTCCTCGCTGGAGAGCCCACGTTCTGTTAGACATGCATTGTCCTCCTTGGCGTTCCCAACTGTTCAGCCGAGGCCAGAATGGGGCCGTGGAGATGGAGTGTCTGCCTCACCCCTAGAGGTGGCCACCGGGGCAGGGACAAGACACCTCAGCTGGTGGAGCCTGCCCTGGGGGTGGAGGACTTCTCTCTCCAAGGCTGTGGATCCTGCACCTTGATCCTGTCAGCACCAAACTTGCAGGAAGACAAATGTTAAAAGGCAGGTCCGTGGGGGGAGCCTTTGCCTCCAGTGGGGGAGGCTGACTGGGCCCCAGGCAGATCCTTGCTGAGCAGTTGGCATCAGCGGCGACTCAGTGCCTGGTCAGCGCAGCAGGGAGACTGTGACCTGTTGTCTTGTTCTGTCCCTTCCAGGAGTTTGGTTGGCAGTAAGTGTTTTTAATGGACTTGTATCTCCTCACCTCGATCAGGACTGAAGGACGGAGGCCGCTCCACCCCTCTCCTCCCCACTGCCCCCAGCTCCTTCCAGGCACCCAGGGAAAGCCACGTCGCCTGCGGGACTCCAGCTGGCACACGGTGGCCTCGGGACCCACACTCGCTGCTGCTGCTTTCTGGGGAAATGCTGGAAGACGTGGAGTTAGGGAGGGATAGCGTCGGGGCCACTGTGAGCAGGGAGTGCTCCAGTCCACGGATACTTGGACCCAAAGAGAAATGGTGCTTTTCCATGGAAGCCTGTGAGCTCCTTCCTCTCCGTGGCCCTTTCGGGGACAGCTGGAAGGGAATCCATCACCCTCGTGTGTGCTGGGGAGGGTTGGAGGTGGGGGCACAGATATCCCTGCGTGGTGTCTGGCGCCTGGCCTGCTTGGCTTACTGGGGCCAGTATCCATGTCCTCCCATGGTGCACTGTCTTCTCGTCCTGTGTGGGGGTGCTCTCTTGAGGAGTGCGATCCCTTCTCCCAACCAGTTCCAGGCCTGGCTTGTCTGGCCCATTATACTCATCTTAGATAACAGCATTTCCTCTTCCCCCGCCTCATGGAGAGCAGGCTGGCTGCTGCTTCCCATCACCTTTTTCTGCTCCCAGTTGCCGTTCCTGTAGGCGCTTCTGAGTTCTCTGCATTCTGCCCTGGCTCCTCTAGGGGGCTTGTCCGGAACAGAGGTGGCCCCTCTCAGCTGGACTCAATGCCTCTGGCTCTCCATGCTGATCTCATGCAATAACCGTTCCAGTTCATGTTTTTCCCTACCGCAAGCCCCAGCAACCTGTTTCTTCAGAGCCAGCCTCCTCCCAGAGAGGCTGCCTTCCTTGTTTTAGAGGAAGCGGCATGGGGAGAGACTTGAGTGTTGTGATATCGGTGGATGGAGATGGGGTGGGCTGGGGGCTGGCTGGATGAGCCCAACAACTGATAACCTGGCGAGCTGCTTAGCATTTTTGTGTGGTGGGAGGTGCATTGATTCCAGGGATTGAGAACTCTGGTGGGGACTCCTGCCTCTTCATAAACGCTCTAGGAATGGGAGCTCCCAATCGAGTGCTGGGTGGGAGGTTTCTTTAGACAGCACTGCTGCTTGCTATTGCTCTATGGTGCGTGACGGTGAGCAAAGAGTTTGGGGTGGCTGAGAGTTGGTCTACATCTAGCTAAGGAGTCTTGGTGCCTGTTCCAGCACATGGGGCTGATTGTGCCCAACAGTGCGATGCCTGAAGGGCCAGGGGGAAACATAACCACTATTTCCACCACAGCCTTCAGCTGGTGATTCTTGAAGGCTGGTAGGATAGGTGGTGTGGAAGGAGCCATGTTCCCTCGAGCAAAGGATGCTCTAGGGTACAGGTGGCCAGAGAGCAGCCTGCATGTGTCGCATGACTGTGCCCATCTGAGCGGCAGCCTGTGGAGACTGCACATCCCAGCATGCAGTTCTCCAGTCACTTAGCTCAAGCTATAACACATTGTATGCTGGGACCTGTAGTCTCCAGAGCCTGCACCTTTATGTAAGACTGAGGACAGCAACCACCTGCTGCATTTCATGCCATTCAGCGTGGCCCTCCTGGCAAGTTGTGGACACAGCTGGGCAAAACCTGGGCACCATCCCCCCAGCAGGGGTCTCCAGTTGGACACATCAGAGAGGGTGGCAGGGGACGAGAGTGCACAGCCTGCCTGGAGGCTGGCGAAGTGAAGTGACACCTCTGTAAGAACTGTGATCGGTGAGCAACGGCCAGCTCTGGATGTCTTTTTAAAAAGAAAATGGAAAAAAAAAACAACGGAAACTTAAAGTGAGGTGACATTAAAAAAGAAGTGTAAAATACCAGAAAACCCTTTGACAGGAGAGTGTTCTGTTTTTTTACGTAATGACACAAATTTTTAGTTTATTTCAGAATAGTGGTGGGAGGGGGGATGATAAAAATAAAATAAAAAGCAACGCCCCAATTCCCCTCCCCCAGTTCTCGGTGATTTGATTTTTGTCTCTTTCTGATAGGTTGGAAATTGTGTAATAAACTTGATGACGTTGTCAATCTTTTATACTGCATTGTATGTTTTCTTTTTTTCCTTTTGTAACAAAATATTTTAAATAATAAATGGGGTGTGAGCTGTTTTACGGAACCTGCATTGAATAATATTCTCTCTCTGGGGCCGTGGTGGTATTGGTGCTGTGAATGGGGATCTAGGGTTTGGGATTCTGGACTCTTGGGTTCTTGGCCTTGCTTGTGGTCTGATTTTCTGAGGCACTGAGTCCTCAAAACCAGCACCAGCATTTAATGGTCAGACATATAGAAGGCTGCCTAGGATGCTATGCCAGCTATGCCCTCCCTCAGCCAAGTCTATGCTTCTAAACTACACCTCCAGCTCAGCCCCCTGCTCTGCAGCAGTGGCTGGGACTGAAAGCAACCGCTTGGCCATGGCTTCACTCTGGCTAGGGGAGATTTCATGGGTTTCTGACCCTTTAAGGGCACACCGTTCACTAGCAGCAGTGTTTGGGAGTTGTGGATCTCTGCCTCTCAGCCAAGACAGCATTCAGGGCTGTAGCGCTTTAAAAACACCACCTTCCAGCACTACCCTTAGGCAGCCCCATTGACCTCAGCAGGCCAGTCCCATGCCCTGTGAAGTGTAGGGAATGCTGCCCCCCACCCCAGGAGGTCAGATCAGTGCCTGTGGGATGCTTTGAGATCCACTCTTCAAAAGAGACAGAGGCAAAGTTATGAGTGCTCTCCAGCAGACTGGTTCAGGCTGTATGTCAGTCCTTGCTATCCAAGAGGATCTGAACGTCATGGTGCTTTTGAGCGGGTGGAAACCGCGCCATTCTGGGTAGGCCTGAGTTAAGGTTAAAATAATCAGAAGTAGGAAAGTCAGAGGTTTAGAATGAAACCCTAAATGCTGGAGTCTGGAAATAATCACTGAGGTGTACATGTCAATGCAAACGGCCCCCCTTGCCTTCCGTTACCCTCCCCTGGCCACCTACCCACTGTCAGCTGTTTTCTCTGTTGTGTTCGCATTACAATAATACAGACTTCTGTTGATGGTCTAGCCCCCTGTATCAAGGGAAGGTGGCCTGTATGTCCATGATGAATGTAGGGAAAGTTGGCCTTGGCTTGGATCTGGATTGTGGGCGGGGGGCTTGGGTCTCTTTGGGAGGGTGACTGGGGCAGAGCTCTTTTTGGTGGATGAGGACAGGATATTGGATAGATCATGTGTAGGGTAATGTGGCGGTTTTGTCTCATGCTGCCAGCATGGGGGTTGGCAGTGTTTCTGTTTCTTTGAACTATAGTGTTCTAAAATTGTGCTTTTTAAACCTATCTCCATATTTCCTGGTTTTCAAGTGCTTAATGATTTCATTGCCAGAGGGCAGCTGCATGGTTCCTTTACAACCTTACTGGGGGGTTTTTTGGTTGGGAGATTACTTTTTTGGCGACAGCTTTTTATAATGTGTGGAACTTTCTGTAGATGGAATTGCGGCCGATGGGAGCAGAGGTCCCCCCCTTCCCTCCCGGGGCTGTGACTGCTGTGGAGTTCATAGGCGCGGCCTGCGCCATTCGAAACCGCATACAGATTCCTACATCTCTGCCACGCCTGGTCCTAGTCAAAATCCTCCCTCTTCTGGCTGTTGCTCAGAGCCTTTGGCTCGGGCTGGAACCCTGCTGTTACAATGGGTGCAAGAGACCTCATCAAGTTTAGAAGGGCCATGCAAAATATCAGGTAACCTAAAAGTCCTTTTGAGTCTCCTCGAAACTCTTCTCCCTCAAGAACGTCTCTTCTGATCCCTCCCTGAGGCAGCTCTCTGGCTAAAGCAGCTAACATGAGCTGTAGGGTGGATTGGAGGAGTGTTGACAGAGCTGGAGAAACAACAAGGAGTCTGGTGGCACCTTAAAGACTAACGGATTTATTTGGAAGACAGAGCTGGAGGTAGCTCTCAAGTGAGGTATGGCAGAAGGCTAGTTGCAGACTTCCCTATGGAGAGGACCACACAGAGGTGAGATCTGCAGAACAATCTCCCAGGAGAAGTGGGGGAAACCCCACCACTGAAGACACCTAAAATTAGACTAGGGACAAATTCCTAGATGATGTCCTGTTGGGACCAATCCTGATGGACTAAGTGGGACCTGATTGGCCCCTTCCAAGTTGAATTTCTGGGGTGGTTCCTTGTAAAAGGAAGACACTTGGCAAATGCAGGCTTCTGGCAGCCCTGCACAAGGGGTTGGGACTCGGTGTCAGTTATGAACTAGTTCTTGGTGTATGTGTGAGGAGGGAGGGAGACCCAAACTAGTGGGGAAAGAGAGAATGGAGCACATCCAGTTAGGCTGGTGGTGATGGCCTGGAGCATTCAAGTCAGGCTTGATGATCTGGTGGCCCCTTCTGGCCTTGAACTCTGACTCAATGACTCTATTGGTGGGGGCGATTCCCTTCCCCATGCTGAAGGAGCTGTGGCCCTCAGCAGGATTTGGGGGAGGAAGAGGCAAGGAGGGAAGTATATGCTATGATAGGAGTCAGTTGCCCTGCCTAGCTGTGATTTTTGCACCTACATTGACTAGCTACATATGAAGTCCAGTGAGAGCCCCCCAGTGTGATAGGTAGAAACTAATCTTCTGCCACCCTGCTGAGAAAAAGCCAGAGCCCTTCTGAGCTGGTAGATCGGAGCACATGTAACAAGACAGATGCAGGGCTGCTCCGTCTGGCCCCAGTGTGAGGGCCCCTGGGATGTTGTGTGCTGGGCCCTAGGGTACAATACCTTCTTTGAGTTTGGACCAATCACTGAGGTCCTGGGAAGCTGAGGTACATTCAGGTCACATGTGAAATGGGTCCCACCAGGGATGATGAGGGCTAGCTGGTGGCTCCTGCAGAGAAACAGCCTGCCTGTCTCTTCGAGGCATCCTTCAGGCAGCAATCAAGAAAGCAGCCCTGCATGGTGCCAGCAGGGCTGCCAAGAGAGAGTTCGGGCCCTGGTGAAAAAAAAATTTTCGGGCCCCCCAGCAAGGGCGGACCAGCTAAACGGGGGTGGGGTGGGGAAAAGCTGGGCCTGGAATTTTTTTGGGCCCCCCAGCAAGGGTGGACCGGCTAAACAGGGCCAACAAGAGGGAGTGCAAGCTGGGGCCCCCTTCTGGACCATCGGGCCCCAGTAATTTGTACCAGCTTCCCCCCCTCTCTTCGGCCCTGGGTGCCAGTCTTGTAAGCCGCTGCCCTTTCAGGCCTCTCTTTCCCAGGTATGGCTGAAGTGCCAGTGGCAATCAGACTGCATCCCCTAGCCTTGTGCCCTTCAGACCAGCTGTGGTAGCACTGAGCTTTAGGCTGTGGCCAGAGGTCAGGTGTCTGTACGCACACTGCTCAGTCTGCAGCCTTTCACCCTGATGAGTGTGAAGTCCTGCCTGCGAGCCCAGGCCAGAGTGGCTGGGGCAGCGTGAACTGACTCTGGTCATTCTGGGGATCGCAGGAGGATGGGCAGCTGCGGCTGGTACTCTAAGGCCCTCCCTTGTGAAGTCTTGCAAGGCTCAATCTTGTACTCTTCCAGCACTTCTGTGGGGCCATGAGATGCCATGGCTCTGATGTCAGCTATTGGCCCTCCAGCTTTCCATCCGCCCAGTAATCAGGGCTGTCAGAGATGTTCTGGAACCTGCAGGAAGAGGGGAGCTGGCTGATGCGCTCGCCCTGGGGTGGCATGTGCACTCTCGTTCTCAATGGCTTCACTGTCTTCTGTTCCCTCCCCCAGGGGCCTGGGGCAGGGTGTCCTTACCTGCCACCAGCTTAGCCTAGCAGCGCTTGGGGTTGGAGTCAAAGGCTGCAGCTGGAGGGCTTGAGGGAGGGGTTCTGCTCCTAACACAGGGTGGGGGTTGGGCTGTGGTCCCTGAGAGGGCTGGGGGCAAAGCCCTTACCAGCAAGTGTAACATCCCCCTAGGTTGTAGGGATGGAGCACAGCTATGGCCCCTCCATTGTGGATGCTGCTCCGTTAGTGACGTGTCCATGTTGGGGGTGAAGCCATGAGCGCCTGAGTGGCTCATAAGGTGGGGGTGGAGCCAGGGTGTAAGTGGAGCTAGATGTGTGGGGGTGGAGCTGTGGAGTGGGCGGAGCTAGTGCTGTGGGGTGGGGCCTATGCAGTGACGGCCCAGTTGCCTGGTGCCCATTGTTGTGGGCGTGTCTGAGCAGTCCCAGTGCCATATAGCAGCCCAGGTGGGACGAGTGGGAGTGATCAGAGCCCCATGGCTGACTCCACTGTACCCCCCTCGCTGCCCTGTGGCCTTATCAATGCCGCCAACCGGTACCTGAGCGCCGAGCCCTTCCGCTTCCAGGTGGTGGCCACGGGCTTGGTGCTGCGGCTCCGCCAGGTCTGGATGCTCCACTTCGTGCCCTCACAGGGAGCCGGAGCGGCCGGGCAGGCTGAGGAGAGCGGGCAGAGACTGCATCTGCTCAGCTGGCTGCAGCGCTTCCTGGCGGCCGATCCCAACGGCAAAGTCACCTGTGACCAGGAGAGCCCGGGCCCAGGTGCCCTCTTCCTGCTGCGGCAGTACCCAGATGGCAAGGTGTGCAAACTCCACCCACCCAGAACTCTCCATTGCCCCCCACCCCAGGCACCAGCTCCACTGACCCCAGGCCCCCCTCCTGCTGCAGCAGCACCTGAGGGCAAGGTGTGAGCCCCCACCTGCCCCAGCACCTAGCACCCACATACTGCTGCCATATCAGCCCACCTGATGGTAGAGCCCGCAGCTCCCTGCCCTCCCTATGGGCAATCTCCCAGCACCCCGGCTAGGGGGACCTGACAACTGGGGGAGGAGCAAAGCTGGCTAGGGCTCAGCTGACAAAGGGGCTCCCCACAGATCAGTGGGGGTCCTTGCACTGAGCCGGGGCATGGGGAAGTGCAGATGAGCTCGGGTGCCATGTCAAGTCAGAATTAGCTCTCCCACCAAGCGACCTCTCTGCTGTGGCCAAGGCCTTAGGGGCACCGCACTATATTGGAGAGTGACCATGGCCTCAACCCACCATTAGTGGGTCTCTACAACACAGGATGGGTGGGCTCATCTCAGTTCCCCCGTCCCCCCCGATTTGTGTGTTGGGAAGGAAGTTTGTCCTGTGCCTGCTTAGATCCTCTACCCTGCAGCCACCAGGGGGCCACACAGCCCCCAAGAAATCCCCCTTCTATGGGCACAGTCGCTGTGTCACTGGCTGGAGGTGACTGGGTGCTCCCTGAGGGCCGGTTGGCTCGGGGCCCGCTTTTAGGGTGCTGGTCCCACTGTAAGCTCCAGGGATGGGGAGGCACTTTTTGCCTCCAGGCCAGTGACTGGAGTCTGGCTGGAGCTGGTAGTGACCAAAAGCCTTCCCGCGGGCCGGCTGCTGAGGGGTCTGGGGCAGATAAGTTGTAGGCATCTCAACCTGGTGGCGCAGGTGCCCATGTCTCAGATGCCGTGGCTGGGAGCCTCCAAACAAGCCACCTGGCCAGCATGAGGGGTGGGTGGAGCCCCTGAGCTGAGACTGACTGAGTCACTTTGGATGTGGGCTGAAGCGGAGCCAGGGGCATGATTGCTCAGGGGTCTTGGGGTCAAGCGGGTCCTGCCCATGGGTCGGACGGAGCCAGGGGCTGAAGAGCAGGCAGAAGACGAGCTGTCAAAGCTCACGTGTCAGCACGGACCCAGCTGGGGGCGCTCCTGTGCTCTAAGGCCCGGACATCCTCTCCTCAGACATACGAGCCCTGAGTATTTCCCACCTCCACTTTACCAAGGAAATGGGGGATCCTGCAGGTCCCTGGTCCCACAGAAGGTAAGGATGTGGGTGCCACTGGGGCTCCCTTGCTGCACTGCAGCCCAGGTGGGAGAGGTCTACGTACCCTTCTCCTGGACCCTCTTCCAGCCAGCCCAGCCCCTCTGGCTGCTGAGTGTGGCTCATGTGACAGTGCCGGCTTCTCTCCTCCATGTACCAACACCCCCACGTCTTCCTGTGGCTTCCCCCAGGCTCCCACACGCAAACCAGGGCCCTCGATTCCTGTGCTGGGGTCTGCACTGGAGGAGCCAGCACTGCCCCCCGAGCCCTGCTGGCACCGGCCCCTCCTTGCTTGGGTATGTGCTTTGCCCACAGGGAAGACACGTCTGTACCCACCCTGCCCTGGCACTGACAAGCTGCCCCTCCCGGCAGGTGTCCCTGCAGTGCGAGCTCTCCCAGCGCTACCTGGGCGGGGCCGAGGACAACGTCACCTGCTTTGCCCAGACCGTGAGTGAGGGCGAGAAGTGGAGCCTGCACTTGGCCCAGCACCCCAACGGGCACATGCTGAACCCCGGCAAGCAGCGCTACATGCGCTGCGACCAGCAGACCGGGCACATGCGCTGCGACCGCGATCTGCCCTGGGGGCCCGAGGCCGTCATCACCCTCCACTTTGACCTCAAAGGTGGGCAGCCCCTCCCCGCTTCCTCAGGGGTGCTCTGCCCTGCTGGGGTGAGGGGAGCTGAGGGGAGGTACTGGAGAGTAAGGGGGTGGGGGACCAGGGGGGTGCCATGTGGGAGCAGATCGGAGGGAAGGGGAAGATGTGAGCAGGGGAGTGGGGTATTGGGCGCTGGGGTGGGTGGGGAAGGATCTGAGGGTGCAAGGAAGGATGTGGGAGGCCAGGGAACTGAGGTGGGATAGGAAATATACGTGTAGATGAGGTGGGGTGCATGCTCGCCCATTGCATGTGTCCCACGGGCCTGCAGCATCACTGGGATTGCCAGAGGCTCGGATCCTGTACAGCTGGGAGGGCTGTTAGGCCAGCAGCACTGGGCCATGGTGCCCCGGTGCCAGGATGACTCTCTCTCTAATGTTGCCTCCCTGCCCCGTCTCTAGAGAAGAAGTACGGGCTGCGGAGCGGGGCTGGGAGCCTCCTGGCTGCCGACGGCTCACTACAGGCCGAGCTGTCCCCTCAGACGCTCTACTCCCTGGAGCTGCGGGGTGGCCTGCTGGCCCTGCGGGACGCGGATGGCAGGTACCTGACTGGGCGCGAGGGCATCGTCAAGACCTTCAAGACGGACAAGCCGGGGCGCGACGAGCTCTTTGCTCTGGAGCCCAGTGCTGCACAGGTCTCGCTGCGCACCTTCTCCGGGGGCCGCTTTGTCTGCTGCAGGCCAGGTGAGCGGGGCAGGGTGGGGAACCCGGTGCTGCATCCAGATGGCACCACTTGCCCTGCTGGCTGCTGCTATTCCCACTCCAACTCCCCCCCCCCGCCCCAGGCCCCATGTATTCTGGGGCACTCTGCACATAGAAGGCCTAGTGGTTGCAGCACTGGACTGGGACTGGATCTGGGTTCATTTCCCGGCTCCCTGCGGGACCTAGCTCAAATCACTGCATCTCTCTAGGCCTCTGTTCCCTATGTGCAAAACGTTCCTTCCTTTCTCCCCTGTTTGTGTAGTGAAACAGTCAGATCTGTAGGGCAGGGGCTGTCACTGTGTCTATACAGCCCCTAGCACAATGGGGCCTGATCTTGGTTCAGGCCCCTATTGTTGTTATCTGTATTAAATACGGCGTGATCTGAATTCTGCAGCAAAATCCGGTGGTCTCTGAGAAAGATACAAGTCGTTTGCAATATGGCACCCAGTGGAATATGGAAATCTGCACTGTGCTGTTTATTTTGTGTAAAGCATTGTATACTGGGCTACCCCCACATGTTGAACATGGCCCATGGGGTTTGGCATTGACAGATAGTCAGTAGGTTTCATGCTTAACAGTCCATAGAGCTGCTGGATCAGCCGGCACTTCCTTTCCTAGCTGTTGTTTCAGGCTGTCTGCCTACAGCCTCAGGCAGGTATCCCATTGTTAATTACCCTCCATTCATATTTTCAAGGGGGCTCTGCATTATGTGGGCAGCCACAGGGTCCCAGTTAGCCCTTGGGATCTCTTCACAGGGCTGTGTCCCCATCTGCTGTGGTGGATGGAAGTTGCCGTGACTGGAGTAGGTCCAGCTGCAGCCAGCAGAGGGCAGCAGTGATACACATACCGGCCCTTCTGGGCCATGGGGGAGGGCGTTATTGACTTTCCAGGCTGGCACCACACTGCCAGCCTTTTTACTGTGTGTCTCTTGCTGCCCACAGGGGCTGACATCTATGCCAATGCCATGTCCGTCGGCAACACGGAGATTTTCCAGCTGCTGCTGAACGATGTCACTAAGCAGGCCTGCTTTCGCAGCTCCTCCGGCACCTATCTCGCTGTGGTGAGTGTGGCCGGAGCCAGGGGATTGGCACAGATCCCCCGATGGGGGGAGATCGACAGAACCACCGGCTTTGGCCTGCAGCATGCTGCCTGCCGCAGTGCAGCTCTGGCGATCTACCAGCAGGGGGCAAACACATCGCTGGGACAGGGATGTAGGCAACTGCCAGCACAGGGCAGGCTGGCCCTGGCTCTCCCCTGCCCTGCTATCCAATCCCAGCTGCTAGAGTGTGCCCCGTTCCAGGAGTGGCCTATTCAGAGGGTGCCAGCAAGTTAGGGGTTAAA